AAATATAAATTTACTTAATTTTTCTAATGTATTGGTCAACAAACAATTACTATTGAGCATTTAAGAGATAGTATGGAGAGCGGACAATATAGAAAGTTAGATCATAATTTAATTTGAACAGATTTAAATCCAAAAGATCGTCAAAATGATCGTTCATGTGAAAGATTATTATCAGATGATGTATTAAATATTTTAAAAAATAATACTAATACAAATACACAAGAAACATTTGTATATCTTCAACTATTAAGATTAATAATAACAACATATATTCAAACAACAACACCACTCAAAACATGTAAGTTGATAGAGCATTATATGATTATTCTTAACAAAATCTTGTAACTGCCATGTATGATGTTTTCATATTTTCCTTTGAATAAAAATATAATACTACACTTAAGATCTAGTGTAATGGTGTGATTTTTATCATAAGAAAGATCATTATTCACTCTTTTCACGTTGAAAACAAGTAACCCCTTATCTCGCCTAATTTGTAATATATGACGTAAACAAAAAAGAGCGAATTTTGTCAGCTGGATGATTCATTTTTGGTGCTGATATAATCTTTTTCCTTTTAGGTTTAAAATCTGCGTGGATAATTGTTTTTGTCTATCATCTATGGTTAGCATGGTTAAAAAATAAAATATTTAAAAGTCAATCATCAACACCAATAAATAAAGATAAATATTTTATAACAAGAACAGCGTATTTATCAGTTGAGTTAAATGCTCATAATTTATTATATCTGATATTATTAGCCCAACAAAAACAATTATCAAAAGAATCGTTACATATTTTTTATTTAATTCACAATCTTGTGAAGGAATGTTCCGGAATGCAAGATCGTTAAGTGGTGCCTATTTTACATTAGTTAACTTCATAACTCATGATTTCCTTCGGCGTGCTGCAAAACTATCATTACTAAATAAAATAAAATGTAATGAATTAACAAATCAAACTGGTGGACGCATATTATTTCCAATTCATCATAAACGTAAAACTAACAAAGATTTATTTACAATACAAAATTTAGATGATGTTAATTATTTGGATATAGAACAGGTTATATCAAAATCATATGAAGCATCAGTTGAATTAATTGAAAATTTAGGAATAACAGCATCATTAAAAAAACAGCAAACTTATACATTAGAAAAATTAAGTAAATTTATATTTAATGAATTAAATTCGAAGTCAAAAGTGTATGATAATTTAACAGGAACAATACACGATGACGACGACATGAGTTCAGAATCAGATGATTGTGAACATGAAAATAACGATGATGAAGACAACAATAATAATATTACTATCGACGAAGACGAGGATGCTGCATCTGATAATGATGAAAATGTTGAACGTGTTCAATCTATAAAAACAATTTTTTCTGAAACGCGCATCAAAGATAAAATTAATCCTGATTTAACAAACTCATATTTCAAAGTGAAAATTATTGATACGATGAAATTCTTACATAAACAGTCAGCAGTATGGCTGTTGACTCACAAAAATGATCGTCTGTCAACCGATAGGTTATCACGAGTTATGAAAGACAGCAAGTAAAATTAAATAAAAAACGATTCGAACATTTTCGTGTGTTGAAACATCAATTATATGATTATTGATATCAAAAATATAAAATATTTTTCATTAATAAAAGAATCTCACTGATGCAATTATATACTTAGATATCTGATAAGATTGCTAAACTTCGTCCCCGGACCGCTGACTTCTAACGTTAGACCATTACTGCTCCCAAGGAAAGACGAGAACGCGCGATGTACTCACCTGTCTTGTTAGAATGGTGTCACTTGATAATGAATATATTTTAGAAAATAGTAATAAAAAACACAAAGAAACGAAGAGTATAAAACGATGAAGAAGAGATCGAGAATACGATCTAAGATGCAATACTAATCACGACTAACTCCTGACTACTTTTAACTGCTCCTCCTTCGAATGAATAATAGAAAAAAACCTGTACGCTCGAATATATATTATATCCAAAAGAAAATCATAGAGAGAGACGACGAGTATGAATCGAACAAAGAAAAGAAGGTGACCTAGAATAAGATAAGAAATAACTAGAGATAAGGACTAGTCAATGATAACAAATATAGGTAAGGAGAGAAAGAAGTAGACTATGGACTGTAACTATATCACGATCTCAAAATAAAATTAAAAAACAAAACATGTGAATAGAACTATGTACAAAACATGTTCTGGACTAGTGCGCTAAGTATATGCTGTATACTTAACAAAGATTAATCGATCTGAATCTATTGATAGATAAATGAGGAGAACGGCTCGATCGCAAAGCTTTTAGTGGAGGGAGTGTGATCTTCTGAACTACAACTGAGCAAACAAACAACGAGTCATCCATATATACATATATCAATAACTACAAACAAATCGAATAAAGAAAAACGAAAAAGAGATATCAGCATGAAAACCTGAGGGCGATACAAATGGTGTCCTTTGACAGTTTTAGAAGTTTATTTAAAATCTAGAGGAGTTCTAAGGAAGCGAAGAGAATCCTATGGAGTCCTTCAGAATCCCAGAGAATCCTTGGAATCCTAAAGAATCATACTGAATTCAGGATTCCGTGGTTTCCCGGTTGAGAAACTCTGAACAACAACCAAAAGCCTTCTTAATGAGACGTAATTGTAGTCCATAAATTTCTGATTAAAATGAGGCATCTCCCAGCTCTACACGACCTGTCTTCGCAAAGTTATAGAGTTTACAAGAAAAGCCCTAAATTCATTTTTCTTTTTTCTTTGTGTAGCTCTGAGGTGACAATGAACATTTACGGCTTTTCTTGTAAACTCTATAACTATGCAAAGAAAGGTTGTGTAGAGCTGGGAGATGCCTCGTTTTAATCAGACATTTATGGACTACAATTACGCCTCATTAAGAAAGCTTTTGGTTGTTCTTTAGAGTTTCTCGAAAACTGGTTTTTCAGAAGACCGATCTTTAAAGACCTAGCAGCAGCATTCATGGTGATATTCGGAATCAGCATCGTCGACTACCTATAGTCCACTCGGTTTTGAAAAAGCAATTTATCAGTTGGGATACTTTCCTCGTGAGTCCGGCAGATAAAATTGAGAAAACTCAATTTACTATATTTCATGCTCTAGACTCAAGTTTGGGAAATATCTCCTTCGTGGTGAAAAATCGGAAAAAAAGTTCTTTTAAGCTAATTTTCAGTTTTTCACCAAAAAGGAAATGTTTCTCAAACTTGAGTTTGGAAGACAAAATATAGCAAATTTAAGAACTTTAGTGCAATTGGGGCTGAAATACCCTCAACTTGGTTTAACATAATTAAGAGTTTATTAAGGATAAATAGAAAAATTTATTATTAAAACACGAATTTTCGACCTATATATTCAGTCATTATTAAGCGAATACGGCGTACAGAGCTACAGCTAAGTAAAAACAAGACTAAACAGTATATATTTATAAATATATATGAGAGAGAGAGATCGATGTTTTTCGTCTTTATTTTTATTACTCCCATTCTCTATCTTCATCACAATAATTCACAATAATTTCTTTATCAATTTTTCTCTAATTTCGACTATATATGGTGCGATTTTATTTCTCGTTGTTTACACAATAGAGACCTAAGCCTTTACGTGCAATGTTTTTCTGTTCCATACAACTGATCAAATACCGTTAGAATACACATATAACGGTACGGAACGATCTGTACCATTAAGAAAAGGAGAGATTGCCCTATTAACTAACAATTCTTTCACTAATCGTTTATAACGATGTTTCTCCCGTAATACTATTTCAAAGTCGTTATTTGTGATAATGTGATCTGTGGTTGAATAATGTTTGCTTACTGCTGATTTTGTTGTACGTACGGGTTTTTATTTTACCTCAGTTAGATCAAGTTTTTCTATAGTTAACGGTAGGCTACCTGTTTGAGTGCGAGTAACTGGGCGTCATTAGCCAGTCTCTGTTCAGACACGACTAATATTTGTAGGTGTTTTATTGCTACGCTTTGTAATTTTACAGCTCGATACGCTTTTCAAAACTGCACAGTTAGCCGAATTACTGTCGAATTTCTCAGTATCATTTACCACTGTTACTTCTTTTAGTGTAATTCTTCCGTACAGCTGCTGATATTCTGTTACAATATGTAACACTCGCTTGTTCGAAGTAAGGTATTTTGAAGACAACTTTTTCTTTTTCCACAGTGCTGCTCGTCCGTTTTGGATTAAAATATTGATATAGTTTCTCACTAATAATTTCCTGAACGAAGCTGTTGGGATAACCATTCGTTCTAGTAACCATTCGGCATTTAGAGACCCAGCTCTGGCAGAAAAATTTTAGGGAATCAAATTTCCAACATTTCATGTTCCCACACTCAAGTCTGAGAAATGCTTCCATCATGTTGAGAAACGCTAATTATTGTTAAGTAGAATTTTTAATTTTGTAAGTTAGTTTTATTCATAATAAGAGAACGAAAAATGTGTAGGCATTTGTGTAAGCTCGTGTAGTAGAATGGTGTATATTTATCTCTATATACAGAGTTCGAATCTCTGTACGAGCTGTTTCTTTTTTTTCATTTTTTTTCATCTCGATTAAAAACTCATTACATCCCTTATTGGATCTAGCGATTCTTTTTTTAAATACCTGGATGAATTGTACGATTAATCGCTTAATGTATCTCTTTCATATTATTTTTTATTAATCATAATTTCCGTTACACGCCATTTTCGCTCACGACATTACTGCGAAGACTTGTTTATTGGAAAAGAAGAATAAATGAGCCTGGTTTTGGATTTTATATATCATGTTTAAAACCTGACTGAAGGTGTATAGTTAATAGTCATTATGTGTTACAGTCACAGATATCCAGTTTCATTGCTTATCGTATTTGATCGGTTTTCTCTGCAATGTACGATAAACTGCGCTTTGATTTTCGTGAATTTTGACTAGTGAGACGCAGAGATTTTATCATTTTGCTGTGGTTTGATCTCATGGTCAGAAAATTCCGATTGCAAGCTTTTCGTGCTACCAAGTAAAATCGGAAATGTTCCGTAACTCACACAATTGCTAGTGTTTCTTTTGTGTAGAAGAATAATTTGTTTGAGCGCTTGTTAGTATTGTAGTAGCATATGCAATGACAATTTTTTTATTATCATACTCTTGTGCTAGAACTAATCCTAATCTATACTCAGAAGCGCCGAATTCTAGAATAAATAGTTGTACAGTATTAGCAGTATTCATAATGAGCGTTTGGATGAATATTTGTTTTAGTGTTTCGAATGCTACTGTACAGTCATCGTCGGAGAGAGGAAAATCCTTTAAAAATTTTGAAAAGAAAACGAGCCGAAAATACTTACTTCGCACCGAAAGCAGAGAAAGGTTTAGTTTGTTTTGTGTAAACATCGATGGCTATATATGAATCATGGAATCGATCAGAAGTTATTCAAGAAAGTTTACGGTTCAGCAACCAAACAAGATTTTCATTGAGAGACAGTTGATTGGTACCTGTACGTATGCCTTTGTTGGCACATGTATAACCTCACGCTGCATACAAATAACGCTCATCTACGGTTCAACGACTCTCGAACGACCAACTTATCTTACACTATTGAATTGTATAAAATAACGAAGCGAAAGATTTCTGAAATTTTTTCTATTAAAGTAGTGGGTGGTAGCGTGTTTCATGCAATGTTTAGTGCTTTGAACTTAATTGAATGAATGGATTTTGTGCAATCAACAAGATATGTCCGTTATATGGCAAGATCAATTGTATATATAAACTTCTATTCTGCATATAATGAATGAATACCATATAAATGCTTTATTTTAACTTCCATTTGCCCAAACAACCATAAAGATATGTCACGAATATATTGAACAGAATTTATCTGAGCGTATAACGGACATATTTTGTTGATTGCATAAACTCCATTCATTAAATTAAGTTCATAATACGAAACATTACACGAAACACGCAGCCACCTACTTTAATAAATTTTTTCAGAAATCTTTTGCTTTATCATTTTATACAGCTAGATCAACCATTATCACTTCTCAGAAGTTGCCACTCGCTGATAGTGTAATCCTCAAAGAAATGTCCACAAATTTACCACGAGTCGTGGTTCCAACTAGTCTGCAGCAGGTGCAACCACCATTAATGCGTTGTTTATCATCGATTTTCTTGATATTGGGAACTTTTGGTAATTTATTGAATGTGATTATCTTGACGAGAAGATCATTGCGCACAAATTCATGTACAATGTATTTCCTTTCAACAACATTGCCCAATATTATTTGTCTATACTTTGGTTGTGTATCACGCATATTGGATACCTATTCATACAGTCCAACAATCAATCCTGGTCTCTATTGTAAATTTAAATCATATTTCACTTTCTGTCCATTATCGCTCTCATTATGGTTGACAGTTCTGGCATGTGCGGATCGATTTGCAGCTAGCTCAAGAAGCGTCAAACTTCGATCCTTCAGTTCCAATAAAGTGCCCAAGTATACAATTGGTGCAACAGTCATTGTTGTATGTCTAATTTATTTGCCGATGTTCTATTGTTTTCAAGGTACTTTCACAGGACAAGCAACAGTGAGCTGTCCATCGATAAGTCCATTATGTCTACAATACAATACCTATATTTTGTTGATGGCACAAAGTATTCTACCACCAGTGTTTATGTTAGTTCTCAGTCTGTTAACTATTCGCAATAGTAGACTAATTACTCGTCGACACATTGTTCCAGCAACAACTACAGTTTTTCGTATGAAAAACAAGGACCGTCAGTTAATGATAATGCTTTTTATTCAAGTATCATCAATAACATTATTATCATTACCAGTATCAGTATTGAGAGTGTATTCAATATCGACAATGACAATAGTTAAAAGTATACAGCGACAACAAATTGAACAATTTCTTGGTGTGTTGTTGAATGTGTTATCATTAATGATTACTGGATCAAGTTTCTTCCTGTTCACTCTGACAGGTACGATATTTCGAGAAGAACTTAAACGTTTAATATTCAAGTGTTTACCAATGAAATATACAAACAATGCAACAGCGGTGTCCAAAACAAGAAAACAGGAAGCAACTTAGCTCATCTAAGACTACAAACAATGTGACATTAAATTATGCAATAATTGAAAACCCATCGGTAATATTAACCTTTGAATACATCTCTTCGAATAGGAATGTCGAGTGGTTCCGATCAAGGGTGTTACTTTAGTTTTATTGTTCATGTGTAATAATGGATAAATATAAATGAATCATTTATATTTATTTTCTAAAGTTACACTAAATTAGCACCCCTAGCTCCGAGATCCTGCGTCACCTTTGTATATCATTTCTTTGTTACTTCGGTACAATTTCAGAATTTCGTTTTAGCTGTAAAAGATAGAGAATTTTCTGTATTATGAAGTGACGATGCTGCTTTTTTTCTTATTAAGGATGTAAGTTTTGGTTTTGCAGAGGGAATGAGAGAACCTGATCGAGCAAAATAATGGAATGGAAAAATTGTCGTCTATACTTTGCTCTGAATAACACATTATGTCTAGATAAGCACTAGGGATCTAAGCGACGGTCTTCTTTTTCATGCACAATGCGGGGATCTGTACAGTAATGCATTAAAGTGCTTTTCACTGGTAATGTAACTATCCATTCTGATCATCCCACTAAAACTGACAAAAAGGACGAATTATAGACGTACTAATACCTTGCTAAGTGTACTAGCAAAAATGGCATCAGAGATAAGCTCAAGAGCTCCAAAAATACAATAACAACTATCGTCTCTGAAACCATGCATGAAAATGACATTTTCAGTATACTAAGGCAGAAAAGAGCATGTTGGACTTACGATTTCAGTTAACTCGACAGTCCAATAAAGTCCTTTGAACTTTTATGGACCATATAGAGCAACAAAATCTGCGAGAGTTCAAAATTCGCTTTTCTTCCTTGAAAAAAGAAAACCGTACCCATCGTCATAAATCACTGAAAAATCAATCAATGAAAAATATATTTAGCAGTACCGACTGTCTTACCAGTTCAACAAGCCCGGCTCAAATGTATCACTAAGAGTGGCATCAACTATTACATAGATTAGGAAAAACATAAGGAGATCACATTAGTATTAGCCAGGAGCTTATTTCGTACAGGACACTGTACGCCTTAGCAAGGTAGCCTTAGTTAACACTTGAATTTTTCACTGAAAACACAGAGAAGGGTCCAAATAAGCACACCCTCAAAAAGAAATTAGCTAAAATGGCAAGTGAAAATTTTTTGTTTCATTTGAACCTTCTTTATATTTTCTATTGCAAATTCTTCATTTGCAGTCGCTATCACGTGCCATTTATTACATGATATCAGTTAGCCTAAATAGTGATAATAGGTTCTTAGCGACACGCCTAGGTGCCATTCTGTACAATATGATGACTCAATTTGCACATTAGCTGGGAATGATTCCATTCACCATGTTTCGCACAATAGCTTTAACTATTCGCAATATGTGTTACTATAATTAAAATAGCGAAAAAAACTTCTCTGGAGAGAGAAATAAAAATAGTTTTTTTAGTACAAACTTCTCTGAACAACTCATTGAACGCATATGGCTACTTTGTATGTTTAATGTATTATGCTGAGAAGAAGCGTTATGACGGTTGGTTCAACTCTGTCGGATGGTTCGTTATTGGAATACATATGGATCAGGCGGAATTTTTAGCTATTTTTGTTATGTTCTCAGCCTGGTTTTGATTTTCTATTATTTTATCTTCAAAATAAATTAAAAATTTTGAGATTGTCAAGAATAATCCTTTTGAATAAGAATACTTTCATCATGATGTAAAGGCAGAAAGTTATTCTAGAAGAAAACAACATTTTTTACAGCTCGTGAAAGTTGTGTTTTTTCCAACGAAGGAACATTTCCAGGTGTTAAACTTCGTTTTCAATGATCTTATGCCAGTTGACATAGGAAAGTGTCCTAGTTAAAATCCTAAAAGGATTTGTCCCCATGGTACTTACTTCTTTCAAGAGTTATGAATTTTTTTGTTTCGCTGGCATTACAGGTACAAAAAATGCCGGCCAATAATCTTACCGAACTATTACAAAGATGGAATAATTGTTATTTACATAGAGAAGCAATTAAATCACCAAAACAAACAAATTAAATAAATTACAGAGAGCAAGAAGAGAGAAGGTAGCTTGTCCATTAGGAAATATTAATCTGACGACATATGATTAACCATAACAAAAGAAAAATGAATTACTCGCAAAACATCGTTTTCCTTAAAAACAAGGAAAATTTAACAGATGATTTTCTAGAGAGGCTGAAACGCTGATTCTTTCTATGATGTTAATCGAGTATTAGAACAACCATAGAAAAAAATATCAGCTCAAAATTCGCTGTTCTTATCTAGATACAAAAATTTTAATGTTTTTGTACAGTGGATCTCAATTGATTTGCACCCCCTGCCATTTTTGACGTTACTCTACTATAGTTTGATTCCTATGAGAGAGCGATATACAGAAAAAAGAGCAGCCTCGACCGCATCGAATGGTATATAACACAGATATATCCGATCAACATTGGACGCTGGACAGAGCATGGAGAAAAAGATGATTCTTTTTTCACTACATTCGATAATTCATCCGAGTTATATTGAAAGAAATGACTTGTTTATCCATTAGGTTGGTCGTAGAACACACCAGCTCCATATGAGATGGCACACTTTCGATAAGCGCCTCTGATTTCCGTGCATGACAATGAAAAGAAAGTTTTTGAAATTAGCTTCGGAAGGTTACTCGCGGTGATTGGATAAAGGCCGCGATGAGTTTCTTTCAGAGAATGCCATATTGGATTATCCAATGGAGATATGTACTTTGATGATGCAGTTGACACATAATGAATCCCAATCACTGGTGGACAATTAGCGTCTTTAAAAGCCTGCATCATATCTAGTTTGTTATGAGCCCGACTCTTATCGCATATCAGATACACATTGTCAATAGCCAGTCGATTGATTGCCGGTGCTAATTTTTTCAAAATCCATTCGTTCACAATATGTTTTCGGACGCCTTTGATATCTTTTTCCTTCCGATCATCTGGTGTTAGAACCATGCAAGCAATTGGTTGTGACCCATTGATCGCACCAGTCAGGTCATAACGTGAAGCGTAAGCCGATGGTTTGTCAACGATAATCAAAGCCTGTTGTCCCGGAGCGACAAGGGTTCGACGGGGGTACATGGTATAATAAACAGCTGTTTCGTCGAAGAATATCAACCTGTCATTTCCAATGCGCTGTAAAAGCCTTCGAAAATTCGCGATTTCCATCCAATATCCAGGATCAACTACGAAAAGAAAATATGGCTGTATCACATTTCAAACTTCAAGTCGCAACAATGAGATGCACTTACTAGGAGAGCAGGATACTTACGATCTCTCGGGATCAACTCATTAGTTTGTTTACTTTTGATGCCACATTCTTTTCTACCGTATCTTTGAATGGTACTTAAAGGGACCTTGCGGTGCAGTGAAGTATCAATGTGTGATTGAACGGTTCTGTAATCAACCGGTTTGTACTGCCTATTCTTCCTCTTCACGAAATTCAAAATGTAACGCGTTACTTCTTGTTTTGTCATTGAGCGCGGCCGACCACCTCCTGATTTTCGTTCCAAAGATCCAATTGTGCCGTCCCATTGGCGATACCACTGCGCGATCAGTGTATGACCACCCTTTATTTTACAGCCTTTTGCTAAGGATTTGAATCCACACCCATGAATTCCACGACGATATTCTTGTAAAACATTGTTCTTAAACGACGCGGTATATGTTTCATGTCCCTTCGTCATTGCGAGAATACACAGCAGGTTCAGAAGGAAATAGTGGCCAGTGATCATTGATATTATTCGATTATCCTGTTAGCCACGTGTATTTGTATAGGAGAGTTGTTCGTCCAGTTCAGAACGAGCTGGAGGTCCATAACTATGGTATGAAGACGAAGGTTTTTTCATCAGAAGCGATGTCTGTCGTCCAATGTCGGTCCTTCAGGTATAAAGGTAGTGATCATCTTCCCGTGTTCACAGAGTTCTTAGGAATTGACGTTACGGATGATTGGGTATTTGTCCCAAAGACGTACTGGAATGTTTATCAGTTTGTCTTGTCGGTTGTACATCCGGCGCTTATGGAAGCTAGACTGGTTAATTATCCTGATGCTTTTGAGTGGTTTCAATATTTCCAAAGATTTTTAAACGCACTGAAACATCGTGTTACCATTTGGCACAAAGCTAGAAGTAAGCGACCAACCATTCCACAAGCACTTCGAATTATGTTGAAACATAAGCACTATTTGCAAAACAAATGCAGACATTCAAGGTTGGAAGAAGATCGTTTACGTTTGAGGTCTTGGAATAAGTTGATCCAAGGGAAGTTCAGAACGTTCAGGCGGAATAGCTGGGTAAAGTTCATTTCACATGTAGCGTCTCAAAACCCAGCATCTTTCTGGAATACAGTTAAGGTCCTCAATAAGAATCAGTCAGTTCAATTCACGGCCTTGTCAGAAAATAACACTGTTTACAAGAGACCAGATGAAATTATTGCATGCCTGACAAGCCACTTTAGAAGCCGTTTCAAAATGCCTGAGATGGATATGTCTAAAGATATTGATCGTTCGGCAGTGAATATCTGGAATTTATTGAGAGATGCTGATCCAGATGATGTTGAGTACGTTTGTTCCAATTCCGACCTGATCTTCACAGTCCAAGACCTGAGAAAGGTTGTACGTAGTTTGAACAATAAAAATTCATCGGGACTTGATGGTGTTTCTAACAGAATGGTAAAACTTCTGTCTGAACTGTATTTGATTAATATCACCCTGTTGTATAATTCCTTGTTTTCTAAAGCATACTGGGGTAGTAGCTGGAAGAAAGCCAGAACAATTTGCCTCAATAAAGTGAACAGTTCAGCTCCAACGACGAACGAACTGCGACCAATATCATTGCTCCCGGTATTTGGGAAAATTTATGAGCGTCTGTTTTTGTTAAGGTTTAATAATTGGCTGGATAAAATGAATATTTTACCTGCACAACAATCGGGGTCAAGAACTCATTTGTCGATAACTTCTCGAGTGAATTGCTTGGTAGAACAAATTACTCAATCACTGCAAAATAATACGTTCTGTGCGGTGGTTTATGTTGATTTCTTGCAGGCGTTTGATAATTTGTGGCAACAAGGACTGATTTTGAAATTGCATCGGTTGGAATGTCCATTCTCGTACCTAGTTTGGATAGTGAATTATTTTAAAGATAGAACCTTATGTATTGATTACGAAGGGCAGTTGTCAGACGAAATTGACATTTCGAGAGGGGCTCCTCAAGGGAGTTGCCTAGGTCCTCGGGTGTATATTGTCGATCACTTTGATTTGGTACAGACTTTTCGGAGGCCAGACGATGGTCACCTGTACGTTGATGATTTAGGGCTTTTGTACTCTCCATGCATCTATTTGAATCGGCGTGATCAGGTTAGGGAAATGGAAAAGCGCATTAACGAAGACATGGTCGCCCTGAGTATGTATTGTGAGGACTGGCACCAACCGGTCAATACTGTAAAAACGGAAGTGGTTATCTATCACACGGGTGGCCAATGTCCAAAGCTATACATCTTGTATCAAGGTGCACAGATAGCGCAGAAGAAAAGTTTTAAATATCTAGGGTTTTTTCTGGATGCCCAGTTAGCTTTTGGGACTATGATTAATGTAAACAATAGTTCAATAATTGCACACGAATTGCCAACGCTCACCGCCCCTCCCCCTCCTGCAAGAATAGAAGGCCATGGTCTTCTACCGTATCCTAGCGGCTCAAACTTTGTAGGATGACCTTCTATTAGGGGTAGCTTTCTAATCCGACCGTCCAGTCAAAATTTTCTAAAAGTTTCCGAAACTCGTAGAAAGCTTAGAATAATATCTTTTTCATTTCACAACAGCTAATGAATTGGTACTCTAGTGTACTCAACAATTGTGAACCTGGGTTTTAGACCTGTCTTTACATCTGAAAAGCTTTCCAAAACCGAAAACAGTTATATCAAAGGTGATATATAAACAGACAATAAAGCTACTATCAAAATCAATTATGAGAGTCACTATGCTAATTGTCTAGTTTCTATCGATTTGAGCGTAATGCAATTGGTAAAAGTAGCGTGGCTCATCTACTGATATTAGACGGAAAGCGCGAATAGATAGTTATCGATGTCATCGCGACCAATTCGTGTTTTCCGTCTAATATCAGTAAATGACCCACGCCACTTTTACCAATTGCATTACGCTCAAATCGATCGAAACTAGACAACAGGTACCCATGACAAGTGATTGGCAATGTGTAACTGACAGTTTTCACGAGAATTTCACTCTCATACACGATGACTTTACTCTTAATGAAGGCAAGGAGATTTTGGGGAGTAATATCTCAGTGAGAACTCTCCTTTGCTATAGTTTTTCGTGCTTTTACGCTGTTTCGTATGAGTTGTTTATTCTAAATAACAGATAGACTTCGATCCTGCCAGCTCGCCTAGTGTCTCCAGAAGATTTAGTAACGAGCGTTTTTTAATGTGGCGTTTTACGATCAAGATTTATGACATAATGCGAGGATAGTGGTCATAGCGTGTCTTTTTCATTCACTCGACTGCACGCATTTCTTGTCACATGTATTGTGTTCGTCATAGAAGCTGATGAACGAAAGAAAAAAGATACATTTTGTCATCTAATCACATGCGCAGAATAACCTTTTCTCGCTTCTCCATGCGCACATTTATGTGTGCTCAGTGGAAAGAGAATTTACTTTCAATAGGCAATATTTATTATGAATTTTGCAAGACTTACAAGTAAAAAACTGAAAAATAGGGGACTCTTTTATCCCAACTTTTATAAGATGAGCTCACTTCTATTATCGAGGGTCTTTTATTGTGGGAAGGTCCTGTAATATCTCCACCTCTTTATTAGCAAAAGTGACATTTCAGAAAAATCTACTGCATCTTTTCGAAAACAGGGATGAAAGATAAAGTCTAGGCTGATAAAAGCCAAAGTAATCCATGAACTCTACAGTGTTCACATCCGTAGTCAAGTGATCTAATTAAAGTTTATTGAAACTGCTGAAAAATCTTGATCTGGAGTTTATATCACATTAATATAACATACAATACATTTGTTTCATACATTTACTCATTGACCATCACCTCCTGCCAAAAGAGGCAGAAAAGGTCCAATTCCACCATGTGCACCATTCAGTGGATCGGGCGTGATCGGATCTTTGCCAGGGCCAAGAATACCGGTTGGTGATCTCAAACTATCGTCACTTGGACACTGTTTATTCTTGTCACTATCCATCTAATGTGTTTTTATATTAATGAGAACGTAGTAGTACACAATGGGTGAGAAAAACGTACTCTCATTTATATACCTGTTTTTACATTATAAGTATGTCATCCATGCATAACGAGCACAATGGGAAAAAACACCGATGTAGGTGGTTAACATCAATAAACAGTAGGCCAAATGTGATCTTTGAGTCATGTTCTATTTCTGTAGCGGTGGGCTGCAGCACTCTGCAGTCCATAATTGTTTCAAGTTTATAGCTTACTTATCAATTACTACACTACAAAACAAGCGTGATCCAAGTTGTGATGACGGTGATGTCCATGTGAAAGTTTTGTGCCGAATTCTTGAGTTATAATTTGTTATATTATCATTCACGAATCTTAGAAACATCTAAGTCCCAATGCCTTTAACTTCCAGATGCTAAGAGTAATTTACTGTGTTTGAGCGATAATCGTAACGGAAACACATGTCTCACAATGGGCATTTTTTGCTAGAGCAAGCGGACTTTAGCTTTATGAGTAAACTAAAATTTCATGAACCATTTTTTTATAGGTTTTTCATGATCCTCTTTCTAATGGCATGAGAGTTGGGTTTTGAAAAAGTTTTCTAAGGACTTTTCCAGAGATCCGATCTCTAAAAAACCCTTCAGAAGACTTTCCCAATATTTAAAAGCGATGCCACTGGAAAGAGCATTGTCAAAAACCTATAAAAAACTTGTTTCGAGTCGTTCAGGTTACTTTATCTTGAAATTCAAATTTTCAGCACGAAATTGTTTGTGTGAATCTCAAAAACTAAGAAATCTCTAGAATTCAAAATCGAGCTACCGAAACTAGATGAGTTATACACCGTCAGATGCAGTTTTTCACGCTGATTCGGAATATGGTATTATATTTGACGAAATATGTGTTTATAAGGGAGAAAATTTCGAAATACCTCAAAACCCCTATGGGTTTTGGAAAATCCATAGAACGTTTTTGGAACATATGCGAGATTTTGCGATTTCACATAAATAGACTAGTTGTAGAGGAACATTTTGATGTATTTAGAAGGTCTATAGGAGTTTAGCGCTATTTAGCGATATCACTACACAGAAGTAGTGTCATACCGGTATGAGATGATGAAGAATCATTAACTGTTACTTATTGCAACTACTTTCGAAGTATAAACATTTTGCTATCAGTAGATAGCTGAAGACATGCCGATCCTGAATATGTGCTTTGAAGGCGCGTAACATAGCTGAGTGAGTATAGAATCGTGATTTCGAGTGTGGTAACGATATTCGCTATAGGTTTTATGTACACTGCCTTCTGTTCGAAGGATCCATTTTCAAAATAGATATTTATAGAGAAATTGAACAGCTACATTTTACACTATTTATATTTGAGAAAAGAGTTACTTCGATTTTTTGCCTAATGTCCGCCTGGATGCCCACTGTGTGTCTGGTTGCGAATTATTTTTGATTTCTCTTGACAGGCTGTTTTAATA